TCCTACCAAGCTGAACAGCCTGCACAACATCCAGATATCAAGAGAAATGTTTCCTGGAAGAAAGCATTGCGTGGGAAATGCTATGTGTGTGCCTGCCATAGTGGCCTTTGGCAGCTCTTGCTCTGAGTTGTCTGGGGAGATAGACTAGGGGAAAGCCTTTGCCAGGCTGCAGCAACATGACCAGCTTGTGGGATGTTTGGTGACAGCCTGGCCCCAGGAAGATGCCCTGCTTGCATTCTGTAGCTTGTGGATTTGCTTGAATGGCCTGAATGGCAGCAGGCTGATATTCTGTATTTGCAAGGAGGTTTCCATCAGCTGAGCACTGGGCCAAAAAAAGGACAGATGGAATGCTTTAAAGAGGAGCTGGGGGAAGTATGGAAGTCATTCTGTACAGACTGTGGATGGACACCAGTTGACCCCACTATGTTTTGTACTTGTGTTTGCACAATGTATAAATGACTACCTTTACATGACAAACAGGCTCCTTCAGGCCAGATCACCTCCTCTCACACAGGAGAGCACAATCATGTGTTTCATGTAAGAATAATGAGAAATGATGTTGCTAAGGTGAAGGTTTAAGGCTCTGGCACAGATGTAAGACTTCATGTCCGTTCACACTGAACTAAAATTACTGGCTGCTTTGACACAGTGAAGCTTTTAGTTTCCAGGATTTAAAACAAACCTGGGCCCACTGAGGCTGTGTGAGCCATTCATTTCCATAGAAACCATACGTTGAGCTCTTCTTTCTAGTTCCCCTTTAAGCAAGGAATGCCCGCTCTGAGTGTTGAGCTTTAAGCATGAAGGGAGAGGATTAGGCTAGCCTCCCTTTGCAGTGTAAGACCTGTAGTGATTGCCTGGCCCCTAGTGCACCAAAGCTGTTAGGCATAGTCTTTTCTCATTAAAAACAAAACAAGTTTTTGCAGTAGAAAGCAAATGAGATCAAGCTTTGAGCCCCAAAAGGCTGGTTCTGACCATGGTCACCAACACCCTCATCTAGTGGCTGTTTCAGGCAGACACACAGCAAAGCTGGGACAATTAAAATGGTGTGTTTCATGTATGCAGATATGTGATGCATTTCAAGATGCTCTGTGAACCTGACATTTTCTCTGACCTTTCAGAGGCACCTTTCACTGTTTGAGGGAGAAAAAAGTTTGCATCCTCTGTAATTTTTGTCTTCAGCTCTTGAGTGCAATAAGGCCTTGTCCCCATCCCAAAGTATTCCATCTGACATCTGCCCGCAGTCATGCCGTTTGGTCACCCGGTGGTATGAATGGTTTGCAGCACACTGGGAGAGGCATCTGCTATTACTTCTAACATGACTTCAGAGCAGAAGCTCTGGGCATGTCACAGTTGAGAGGAAGCTGGGAATTGTTCTGTCTTCTAAAACTGAAGCTGTGCATAGAACTATAACAGGTCAAGGGTGACTGAAAAATTTAGAGGCCCTTCTGCACCTGTTATGTCATTTGAATGTGGAACACTAACCTCATGTTGGAGTGCTTTTATGCTGAATGTTCCTTCCTGTTCTACAGCTGTGTAGTTCAATTACTTGACTCTGGTTGCTTTGCACACTTGTCACCTTGAAACAAAGTGATGAAGGCACTCTCAAGCATGCTGTGATGGAAGACCAATTTTGATCATCTGATCTAAATCTGAATTCAATCATGGTTGAAGTACTTGGATTTGAAGTTTCCACATGACCCAGTACAGGAGTGTCTCACAACAAAATCTGAGTCCCTATCTCGTTTCCCATGGAGTAAAGCTTGCCAAAGAGGAACTTTGGCAGAAGAAAGGATAAAACATTCAGTTAAGCTTTTAGGGACAAAGAAACTTCAAAACTGAGGTTGCCAGGTGTGGAAAAAAAAAGATGTATTTAAAGAACCAGACTGACATAAAAAAACAAGGAGTGTTTCCTTAAGCAAGTATTTTGAGATGCTTCATGCATCTATTTTCCCTATCTGTAAAACCAGGCAATAGTTCCCAATCTGCTGCACCCAGGTTGCAGAAAGATTGTCAAAGTGACACATACACCAGCTTTCTGCTACTCTCGATGGTGCCATCTGCATTTTTCCACTGTCTGGATGTTAGCTTTGACAGTTTCTGGAGAGGACATGTACACCAGATCCTTCATCTAGAGGAGTACACTCTTTATGCTTTTTTTTCTTCTCAATTTAGGATGGTTGTGCTGGGGTTGTGTTTTCTATGTTTGCTAGCAAACTCTCCACATTTCCCTTCATTTGTTGACCTGCATATTCACATTACACCCAAATTTACTACCCATGGTGTATTTCATGTATGTTGGATTTATGTTCTTTCCTCTTACCACTTCCCACCTCGAAATAGTTTACACTGAGTTCTCCAGGTTGCATTTCTCTGAGGGCCAGTAGTAGGCCATTAATGAGCCATTTGTAGACCTGGGACCTCCCTTACCAACCTGAGCTGGTATTTCTCAAAGCTGCATCTTATTTTATTATCCTACAAACAATAATTACTGTTATCAGTTACAAAATCTGTGTAACAACAGGTGTTGCATCACACAACATCACACTGCTGTGTAGGTAGATAATAGTTACCTACCTGGTCATTGGAATGATGCTACAAGAGGAACCAAATCTACACTTGGGCCAGGCAGGGTCTGACAGGTTTCAGGGCTACTTATACAAACCTGCACGCTCTTAACCGTGGTTTCACCTGATACCTCTTCTGTCTAGAAGAATATAGATGTGAAACACTTAGCCAAAAGGAGCTTTTAATGCAGGCATCTGTAGACATGCTGCATAGGCAGTGATCACAGTCTTTCCAGAAATGCCCTCTGTAAACAAAGTCAGAGATCTGCAGGTCCTGAAGAGCCCTCCAGCTCCCAGGAGCTCTGCTCTGAAGAAAGACTGGAAATCTGCATCTCAAAACGTGCAGGAGATTTTACCAAACGTTCAGCTTCACCTCTCAGTTCGGAGTCTGCTACTACCAAAAGGAAGGTGGAGCAGAAGTACCAGTCCTGCTGGTGCCAGTGGTGTCCCCATGGAGAAGGTGCTAGGCAGGACGAGCAAGCTCTCACTGGTGTTGCCTATATGTCTCTGTTCCACACAGGGCAAAAAAAAGATAAATAGCAAAGCACTTTTCCTGAACAATGAACACTCAGGAGAAGGTTTATTAGATTGCAGTATACTTCCAACAAAATAACCTGTAATTTTGGGATGAGCAAAGTTAAATTGTCATCAATAACTAGAGTAAAACGTTGACCCATCAAGCAGCTGCAGTAGTTTTCCCAGTGCCGGTGAAACAGGAAACAGATTTGTGGATCTCACCTGAGCAGGGAGCTCCTGGTCCTTTGTTCTTCTCATTCACTGCTTCCTGAGGGAAAGGGAAAACACAAAGCAAGAAGCTGAGAAAAGGGTTCCTGATAGCCAGGCTGAAGTTCCCTCCTCCATTCTTACCCTGATCTACTAATAACTTAGGGCAGCAGCAACCCTGCTGTTTTGGAAAGGGCTGCACGTGGGCTTTGAGGTTAGCTTTGGAGGGACTGAAAGACTCCTGCTAAGAAACAGGTCTCTGCTAAGACTGAATCAGTTACAACTGAACAAACAGCAGAACATGTTCCCGCAGGAAAAATAATCTGTGGGGGGTTAAGTTTCTCTGAAGGAGTGAAGGAGAAATTTGTAAAGGTATGACTTGGAAGAGAAATAAAGGATGTGTGTTCCTGCACCAAAAATCAACTACATAATAGATTAAACTGGGAATTTATTGCCACAATTTTAGGGAAAGTATGTTCAATATTTGGTTATTAAAATGCCTCTGAATAACAAGAAGAAGTTTATCAAGGAAAAGCACAAAGGGAGAATAAGATGTAGCTAGGAAAAAACATGGTATTGAAGGTATTTCAGCTAGGAATTGTTGCTAGAAAGGGTTTTGTGGTGTTATACAAAACAGATAAAAAGCACTGGTTTCAGTCTGACATTGGATAATTTTGCTTCCTTTTCCCGATTGGTCATGGTGCTGGTATGTGATGTACAGTGCCACTATTTCTTCTGGATTGTAAATGGCTCTGAGCAAAATTAATGTCTTATTTCATCCAATAAATAGATGATCATAGAATGGTTTGGGTTCAGAGGGATCTTAAAGACCATCTGTATGGGAACTGTTGAGTCACAGCCTGAACTTCTGATTGCTCACCTGAGGCGAGCACTGAGTCAGCCATGGAGCACAGGTGAAGGCAATTCAGCTGTGTGATGGAAGGGGTGGAGCCTGGCTGCACCTCTCCTAGACCCATTTAAGGGCTGACTGCCACAGGGGAAGGGTCTCTTGCTGGAGTTCCTTCCTCTGGGGAGTCTTTCCTGGGAACTTTGATCTTCAGATATAGGTGAGCGTTCCTTTCCTATTCCTTTTCCAATATTTTTTTTCTAGCTGTAACACCATCTATTTCCAAACCTCATGCCATAGTTGTCTAAAGTTCCATCCAACTTAGCCTTAAGCATCTCTAGGGATGGGGCACCTGCATGTTCTTTGGACAACCTGTTTCAGTGTCTCAGCACCCTCTGAGTAAAGAATTTATTTTTTGTTTCTTATCTGAGCTTACACTTTGCTAGGTTAAAGCCCTTACCCCTCGTTCTTTTGCTACATTCCCAGATAAAGAGTCTTCCAGCTTTACTGTAGGCCCTTCGAAGTATGGGAAGGCTGCATTGAGGCCACTTGGGAGCCTTCTCTTCTACAAGCAGAACGTAGCTCTCTTGCCTGTCTCCATTGGAGAGGTTCTCCAGCACTTTGATCATCCTCATGGCCTTCTCTGGACCCACTACGACAGCTCCGTGTCCTTCTTATGCTGGGGGCCCTGAGCTGAACGTACTACTGCAGGTGGGGTCTCACAAGGTAGGGAGATTAGGAGAGTTTCCATTAGAGTTAGTGCAGGCACATCTTGAGCATCTGTGTTTCCCGCAAAACTGTGCGGAAATAGACCTTTCTGTGGTTGTTCTGAGCACTGATAACAGTAATTGTTAACTTTCTCTTCTAGATGTCATCTGGAAGATGTTCTCTGGCATCCAAGGATGTGGTTCATTTCTAACATGAAGCAGGTGAGGAAACTTGGATCATTTCTTCAGGGACTTTGTTGCACTAAAGTGGAAGACGTTCCTCTTGCTTAAGCCAGTTTAACTTCACTGAAATGCTGGATCAACCTGCACGTAGGGATCTGGTCTATAGGACACACTATCTTATTCTTTTATTCTTTCTAGGTTTCACTAAGAAATGGAATACAAAACAACTTAGAGAGGATTCAGCAAAATATAATTGCTCTTAAAGCAAGCAAATTAATGTTTCTTTGAGTGTCTTTGTCAATTCTGCTTTTTACTGTTAGAAAGCTAGATTACCTTTGGATTCCATATACCTTGTCATCTTTTTTTCTTTTGAACAGAATGTGAAATAAGCCTACAAGCAATACAAGAAATGCGCTACTTTAGAAAATAATGTGAATACCTGAGATCCATTCAAACCAGTCCAGGTGTGAGTGTGGAATGCAGGTAGGACAATTTCAATGTTGGGTAAATTGTTTTGGGACTACTGAAGTTCTGAGAAGAACATTCCTGTTGGCTTCTGCCACTGCTAGTGCTGGGTGGGGTTTCTCAGTATGCAAGCACTTCCTTTGCAGTCTAAAATTAAGGTGCTGAAATCAAAATTCTGTTTACAGTATAATGCAGTGGTAACTGCTGAGAATTACTGAATCCAGTGTGCATTTTTAAAGTGACATCCTAAATTTCCTGGGTATGTTTCTCATTTGTAGCATGCATCGGTTGGCTGGTACCTGCAGCGTTTTCCATTTTCTGCTGACATTTTCACTGTAAAATAACTATCCAAATATAATGCTTTTGAATTCCTACCGTAACGGATGTCTCTGAGTTAATGCTTCTAAAAAAAATTATTTGGCCTTCTACTAACCCACCACAAAAATTGTATTTAAATGGATTGGATATCATTTACATATAATCATGAATGCCTCTTTCCTAGCAGGCAGAGATGAGTGTGTAATCTCTTTTCAGCAGCTTTAGAGGTAATAGGGACACCTTACAACTAATTGCAACAGTTCTAACAAATATGATCTTTCTAACCAAGCCTAGACTGTGCAAAAGCCAGCACTAAACTTACACCATTGAGGAAAACTGTAATAAAAAAAGGCATAAATTCCTTTTAATTGTGTGCTTGTGTGTAAGTGATTAAGCAAAGCTGTATGGATTTTTTTTCTGTGCTCTGTTGGAGGAGCGGATTAGATAATGATCCCAAAGCATGAAATCCTTGCATTTTTGACAGCTGTGTAGCAGTGTGCCTCACCATACTCTTTAAATATATACAGCGAATTGTGAGGTGACACTGCCAGCATTCAACGTGCAGAAGCAGCATGTGGGGGAAAGAAACTCAGCTTGTACCTTTCTATACTCTTTGCAGCACATCTATTTTTAACACCTGACAGAGGACTTTGCCCCTGCACTCTTCAGAGCATGAGCCTGTCAGCGTTGCTCATCACTTCTGTTTTTCCCTGACTGGAATAACTTGTAGGGGGAATTTGAGAAGTAAGCAGACAGCAGACGTGACATGTGCACCATCAGGGGCTGATAGCAAGCAGCAATAAGCCATACTCTGAAGCAGGATTGGTTTTATTTCCTCCTCCCTCTGCTTGCCCTGGTTTTTTTTTTTTGTTTGTTTGTTTTTTAAGGCTCTCAGTATTGCCTTAGGGGGTGTTGGAGGAAATGAAGTGAGGAGCAGCTGCAGCACACCGTGGGCAACAGGCCCATGCCAAGCTGAGGGCCTGGTCCAAGGGCTGGTGCAACCTCTGGAAAAGGAGCACATGGATGTGAAGCGTGGAAGTGGTTCATTGCTTTCCTGTTCCTGCTTGGTGCTGGTGCAGAGGGTGTTGAAACTCATGGCAGACACAGAGTCTGAATACACTGCGTGGTGTGGGCTGGAAGTGTGCAGTGCAGGAAGTTTGTCCAGGCCAAGCTGTCAAATGGTGGTCAGTGCTAAGGTTGGTGAGAGGACGTGGTTCTTCCAGCTGCCAGAAATCAAATAGGGTCTTTAAAATGTCTTTAATAGGATGAAGAGGAATGAACAAATGGCAGCTAACCAGAAATAGTGCATTTTATCATATTCCAGGTTGTCTGAGCCATGCTTGCAATTAACACTCCTGTGGCTTAGCAGCTTGTTGCTCCTCTTGCTCCCCCAGATTCCTCAGCATGTCCATTTCTGGTCACAGTGTGCTCCCTGGGCATGCCAGCTCTGACATTTCCCTTTTCTGCTCCCAGCTGGCTTCTTACCAGACCTGCTGTGTGCATACACATGCTGGGGCAGCGACAGCAGTGGTGCTGCTGCTTTGACATGGCTAATGCCAGTCTAGAAATCAAAAATGTGCCTGATTGTCTGCAGGGCTAAAGAAGTATTTGTTAACCAGTACAGTCCTGCTTCACTGCAAAGCCACGTCCATTGCTAACAGACTGAAAAACTGCCCTACTTGGGGAATTCTATTCGGAGCCTGCTGCTCTTGCTTTCTTACTTATTTTGTAGAATCATAGAATGAATGGTTTGGGTTGGAAGAGACCTTTAAGAACATCTAATTCCAACTCCTTGCTGTAGGCAGGGACATCTCCCACTAGACTAGGTTGCTCAAAGCCCCATCCAGCCTGGCCTTGAATGCCTCCATGGAGGGGGCATCCACAACCTCTCTGAGCAACCTGTTCCAGTGTCTCACCACTCTCATAGTAAAGAATTTTTTCCTAAAATCTAGTCTAAATCTACCCTCTTACAGTTTAAAGCCAAGTCTCCTTAAGGGTGCACTCGATCCCACTGTCCATGTCACCTACAAAGGTTTAAGTAGCACTGGTCCCAGCACCAATTCCTGAGGAACGCCACTAATCACCAGTCTCTACTTGGACATACAGCACAGCTGTTCACTGCAACTCTGGGCACGACCATCCAGCCAGTTCTTTATGCAGTGATCCATGCATCTCACCATGCAGAAGGAGATGATGTGACATCTAATTGTGTTGAAGAGTTAAGGAAGCTGAAAGTTTCCCTATGTAGTCTGGGCACTTTTTGGGAGATGTCATGTCTTCTTCAAACTAAGTATATGAGAAAGAATGCAGGAGCTACTAATGCTTTTTTGTTTTTCTTTTACTCAATCTGGACAGCCTCTTTGTGGGTACATTTTATCATACAGTGGGGAGGTTAGACCAGGAGGGGGTGATGACTTCTGACCAAGTTTAATTAATTCTTTTTAATGCAACAACAGAAACTTAAGAGTAATCAGCGTTAAGATCTGCTCTCCTACCTCCTATTTCTAGTAAGTTGTTCCCAGAGTGTTTCACTCCTTTCCTTGGCCCATGGTTTTGGATTTCTCTCTTTTTTTTTTTTTTCCTACCTTTCTACTCCCAGACACCTTTCCAAATTGTGATTAGCTTTTAAACACTTGCTCAGTCATCCTTGACGCTGAGCTGGGCTTCTTTCTTCTGCCTTAACAGGTTCACTTCCTTTGACAGCAAGGTTATATACTTTTACACACTGTCAAGTATCTGTTCCTGTTCTCTTCCTCTTCTCTGAGCTCCTCAGCAAATATTTCACATTGCCATCAAACCTAATGGTGCTTACAGACTGGGATTTTTTTACATTTACTTTTGATAATCTCTTTATTTTTCCCTTCTCCTGCACTTCAAGCATTGGACTGCCAGCCTGTGGTTTTTTTGTTGTTGTTTTTTTTTTTTTTTTTTTAAAAGCCATTAATTTTACAGGCCCTAAATAACTGGGCTTTCTGAGATAGCACCAGTAAAAGTAAAGCCATCTGCAGTGCAGAAGTGAATCTGGGCGGTCAATACAAGCAAATCCACAATGTTCCTGGATTTCAGAACCTTCCCCTGTGGCTCTTCTTTCACTGAACTGCTGTTTGTGCAAACTCAGTGGATTTCTGCTCCAAGAACACAAACCTCAGCAGCCGTGTGCAGACTAAATGTATATTGCTGCTGTCAGCTTAGCTGGGGCATAGCAGAGGCCCAATCCAATCCCTAGAGCGCTCAGCTCTGAAGGAAATCATCTGCTTATCTTGTTGTGGACAGAAGAAGACCTTCAGCGGCTGCAACTTGTCAATGACTCATGCTAAAAATCAGGATTTCTTTTGTAAGTTAGAGGAAAAGATCACAGGGAAAGTGAATGTCCAGGGTGTGTTTATCCGAGCACGTTCTGTACTGGCCTGCTCCCCACTGTCCAGTGGGAATACATGGATGCCTGACCCAGCAGAACAGGTAGGCATGCATTGATGTCTGCAGGCTTACATCTGTGTTGGCACTGTTAAAGGAAATCTCATAGGCACGGGGCAGAGACAGCAAACCAATGACAGAGTGACCACCTCCTCCTGGAACAAGAGCACAGGAAAACTGGTACGTCAAATTAAAGCCATATGAAGGAAAAATGGAGAACTTGAAAGTTTTGGAACGTCAGGTGGTGATTTGTTCTAGAAGTAAGCTAAATATGAACTCTTTGAGAGGTATTTAAGAAGGCAATTTTTGGACAGACAAGTTTTCTGAGACGGCTCACTATGTGGCTACCCAAGGAGAGGGGAACGTGACCAAGGAGGAACATAGTGGCAACATCATTTGCATGCAGCCTTCACTCAGACTGGCATCCCATATCACATCTACATTATGGCAAATTCATGAAGACTGCCCCTGTCTTTTTTTCATTCATAGGCTTCATTTCACTTAGCAGAGAGGAAACTTCAAATAACAGCTGTGCTTATCACTTAAATGAGGATTAAGATGATATATTAATCATGGATTTGTGATTAACTCTTGTGCTATCGTGTAGCTAATCGAGCTCAAATCCCCACGGAGGGAAGGTATCTGAAGAAGAAATAGCTTAAATTTGGCCAGGGTGTTGAACATGTCTATTGTTTTTGTCTTTTGTTCATTAACTAGAGTGGTACATGACTCATCAGTACTGCAGAGAACGAGCTCCAGGGGCACCGTGCATACCGTGCTGTACTACCAATACAAAGATCAAATTTTAATATGAAAGGTCTTGAAATTTCCTTTAGGAAAGATTCTATTTCAGACCAGTAGAGGGAGAGAGCAGGCTAAAGACATAAATTACTGGTTTTCATGAAGATTTATTGTGGAAAAAAAATCAAATTTATCCTCATAGTTAGAATGCAAGAACAGTTGCTCGAAGTGCTGCTGGAATCTTTGCTGATATACTTTATTATTTCATTTATTACAAAGCTAGTGAGTAGTAGGTATGTGTTTTCCTATTCTGGAAGAGTAAAAAGGATAATTTAATTTGAGGAGCAGGGTTTTAGTAGTCAGTTAACAAAAAGTACACTTGAATTTGGGTAAGTAGAATGAAAATATTTGTATGTATGAAATAGTGCAATTTGACTACACTAATCCTCTGGATACATGTGTAAGATACAGTGTCACATGAGACTTTAAAAATCTTCAAAATAATAAAACAGTAATAATCAAAATATTAAACATAGTTATATAAAACCTCTGGAAAGCAATTGACTTGTATTTCCTTAGGAAATTATTTTTGCCTTAAACTTAGCAGGCTCGTTTATAATACAATCAGTACAGGATAGGCAGAGAGAGGTAGAATCATTTGCAACGCATGGAATGGGCAGTTAGGAGGAGAACAAGGAACAAAGCACACCCGAAGAGTAACAGGGCTCTCTGCTTCACATGTAATCTCCCTCATACAGATCCAGATATTGATCATATTACACAGTCTCTTCTCATTTTCTTGTAGAAAATACTGTGACTGACATTTTCAATATTAAGTTAATTCTATCCTTCCCTTGGTCTGTAGAATGCAGTGCAAACTGTCTGGATGTGATTGCATTTATTTTAAAACTCAAATGATATCAAACATGAAGAAGAAGAAAGAAGCATCTTCGCAGCAGCGAGCATTTTGGTTTTGACTGTGTGGTTTCTCTAAGAACTGACTCCACGTGTGACTGATGCCTTCAGAAAGCTGTCCCCCACAACTCTGAACTGAGAGCAGATGAAGAGTCTCAGGAAGTAGATCAGCCTTGCTATCATCCCCAGAGGCACAGAGGGCATTCTGAATGTGGTGAGATGGGGTCACAACGCACCTGGAAGAAAAGACAGAACTGAACTTCCCACCCCATTCTGTGCAACTTGGTCATACCAAGGCTATGCCAAGGCTGATGAGCTGCACTGCAGTGTTCTGATGCTGTTGGATTTCCTGTAAAAAGACCAGGACACTGTTCACTGCACTGGGAAGGAGTCTCTTTGCAAAAGACAGGTTCTATGGTGTTGGAGTTAAATAGCAGAGAAGAATCAGAGCTTGCTCCTAAACAACAATAAGAGCTCACCAAAATTGATGTGTGACTCCTGTGAAATGAGAGTTCACTGTGAAACGAGACTTCAGTTGCAATAAAGCTATTTACATCATGGACATCAACTGGGGTTTGGTATTACGACTGCAACTGACAGCATTATACTGACAGCTTTGATCCTGCACTGGTAAAGCCAACCATTCACTTAGCTTTTACATTAAATAGTAAGCTTAAGTAATCCTAAAAGTTAAGAATAGTCCTGCAAAGTAACAAGTGTGCCCAGGTGGCTAAGAAGGCCAATGGCATCCTGGCTGGCATCAGAAACAGTGTTGCAAGCAGGAGCAGAGAGGTGATTGTTCCCCTGTATTCAGCACTGGTGAGGCCGCACCTCGAGTACTGTGTCCAGTTTTGGGCCCCTCACTGCAAGAAAGATATTGAGGCCCTGGAACGTGTTCAAAGGAGGGCGACAAAGCTGGTGAGGGGTCTGGAACACAGGGCTTATGAGGAGAGGCTGAAGGAGCTGGGAATGTTCAGCCTGGAGAAGAGGAGGCTCAGGGGAGACCTCATTGCTCTCTATAACTTCCTGAAGGGAGGCTGTAGTGAGCTGGGGGTCGGCCTCTTCTCTCGTGTCATCAGTGATAGGACCAGGGGGAATGGCTTCAAGCTACGGCAGGGGAGATTCAGGCTGGACATGAGGAAGTATTACTTTTCAGAAAGGTGGTCAGGCACTGGAATGGATGCACAGGGAGGTGGTGGAGTCACCGACCCTGGGGGTGTTCAAGGAAAGACTGGATGTTGTGTTGAGGGACATGGTTTAGTAGGAGCTATTGGGAATAGGTGAACGGTTGGACTGGGTGATCTTTTAGGTCTTTTCCAACCTTAGTGATTCTATGATTCTAAGCACAGCCACACAAAGGGAGGTTGGAAAGGTGGGAGTTTACTTTCTTTCTTCAATGTTTTCTCTCCCATCACTTATTACAAAGTGCCATGTCTCTTTTGGCCTTTCCTTGCACCGGATTTGTCCTAGTTTGAGATATCAGCTTCCACAAGTGTGCACAGCTGGTGTTCTATAGTTCTGCCTATAGGTAGGGAAGGATATTCAGGTATAAGATCTGACCAGAGAAGCTGGTACAGATGCCTCACTCCTGAATTTGCAAAATGGTGAAGGAATTTTTTTATTATTATTCATGGAGATGGTAAAATCCTATCTATTTCTGTCTTGCTCCTCATAGAGAATTCATCCTTATGAATTCCATA